ACCCAGGAAGCCCGCACTGCATCGCGACAAAGCTCTTCCAAGCTTCTTTCTCCTCCCCAGCTCTCCAGGATCCTCCTTATTTCTAGTCCAACGGAGACACCGGCTTTGGCCTTCGCCTCGAGCAGCTTAGTGATAGGAGTCCTGAAGGTACTTGCAGACCGGACTCTTTTATCTAAAACTGTGGGAATTTGTCACGGAAGACCCAGTTTTACGTGTAGTTGGTGTTATCAGCTGGCCGGGTTCTGTCGCTATCTCTGGGTATCTTTGAGTATCTCTGGTCGTTGTTCTTCCTGAATTCGGCAAGGATAGCACGCCAAGATAACAGGGAAAGTTGTATGACGCCCTTATAGACCCATTAGGCGTGCCATCTCTTCGGAATCTACGGTGATCTGCCACTATCGTGCTTTAGGAAGTCTAGCAGGATCTTAACGCAAGCCCAAAATGCTAATTGTGGAGAGAATGATAGCTATGTTTATTTGGCATGAGCAGTTTGGAAATCACACGTCCTTTGGGATAAAAAGACAGCAAAAAATCTGTCTATCCTTTTGAAGTTCCCCTTTTCTGAACCTTTACTTATTTTAGTTTCAAGTCTCTGCCTCTTCGCTCCTCCTTTCCTTCTTTTTTTTCTTCTCTCCATTTCCCGTTCCGTTTCTCATTATCAAACTCAGAACAATAATTCAATTAGAAACGACCAAAGTCCCGGAGATACAGGTAATTCTGTAACCTCATACTAATTACCGCACCTTCCGTTTATAGAATTGTGTGTGTATCACTGCACACACACACACACACACACACACACACACACACACACACACACACACACACACACACACACACACACACACACACACATATATACACATATACGTACATAAACACATACATGCATACATATATACATACATACATACATACATACACACATACATACATACACACACAGAAATAGAGACTGAGAGAGGAGAAGAAGAAAGGGAGACCTTAAGATTACTTTCTCCTTACTCTACAAGACCAACATCCCTCCTCTCCTTCCTCGTTTTCTCATATTACCATCTCCTCCCCCCCCCTCTCTGCTGACGACTCTCATCTTGTACCAGAATCCAGTTGCACTCTGATTTCTCCTCTCTAATCCATCTTTGTCTCAGTCACTATTCTGTCATTTCTTACTTCCCAGTGTTTTGTCTTCTAATTCAAAGTTCTAAGTTCATTTCTCACCATTCGCACCGCCCAGAAACCATTTGTCGAATTTATAATCTGTTTTTTGGCTCCTGATGTCTAATCCGCCATCTTTCCTCCTCCCACAGTGGCGAGCCCGCCCGAGAAGAAGAAGGACGCCCTCGAGGAAGCAAACGTGCCCATCGCGCCCTCCAGCAAGAATGGACAACTCGCGA